CAGCCCCGGAGCATCCACACTAACGCTATTTTGAAAAAACAGTTTTAAAATAAGCATTATTCCCCGAGGAAAGCAGGAATCCAGATTTCAAAATAACCAGCCTGTTATTTCAAAATAGTGCTTGATAGTGTGGATGCTCTGTTTGTTATTTCGAATTAAGTGAGACTTACTCTGAAATAACTCCCTAATGTAGACCCAGGCTCAGAGAGCGTATTAAAGTGAATCTTGACTAGCTCATGTGTATTATTTATTATTACTGGATATTCTACTGATATCATTTTCTGCAAGCCAAAAATTTTACCATTCGGAGGCTACTAATCTGCAGCACCAGCTGCTAAGTAAGTGCCAGTTCCTACTCTGCAGCCCAGGAGAGCAGCAGGGGTTGCAGGAGAGTTGACCCTAAACTTCAGAAATGGTTTCTCTCCTTGGGGCAAAATATAACTCAACTAGCATCTTTTCATGTTTTCTCTCTGTTTGGGCTAACATTCTCTGATGTGAATTTTGGCCAGTCACTGTAAACGCTGTGATCTTTTAAAATGTTATTGCTAATTACTAAAGGCTGAATTCTGCTGCTTTTCTGAAACTGAATATTGGTTTCTGGCATGCAGTGGTACTGGTCTCAGTAAGACTCAGGTGCTCCTCAGCATAAATAGGGATGACAGCAGCTAAGCTATGTCCTGTAAAAATACTTACAAATTCACCTGTCATATTACTGTTTCTAAAGGTTGAACCTCTCTAGTCTGGTGCTTTTGGACCTGATCGGGGCCAACCCAGAGAATTTGCTGAACTGAAAGAGGTCAATATTGTCTAGCACCAATACTAACACTTCCACTGCTTGCTGTGCTCTTAGAAGAGATTTAGAGGTAAATTAGAGATAAATAACAGCACAGACCATGGAAAGTCAGGATTGTGGTTGTAAACAGACTTTATGGGACTGCAGGAAACTTGGCCACACCCATGAAAATAGACATCCAGATAACTCAAATCATGCCAGACTGTGGATATAGCCGGACCAGGAAGTGCTGGACTAGAGAGGTTCAACCAGTATTACTACAGTAGCCACTCATTCTCTCAGTATATTTTGCTCTTGGTTACATATAAAACAAAGACTGAAATCTCTTATTAAAAAGCAGCCTGTGACAAGCGGTGATCAAATTTATTTCATGAAAGACTTTGACTATGAGGTAAAGTATAAACTGGACAGTTCTTTATCCAGTTTAGTTATTGCCCTCTTAACTTTATACCTGAAGCCAATGGCATTATACAACAGAGGAATATGTGTTGGTAGAGAATCTTGCCTTACTGACACATTCTGTTTTTGCCTTCCCAGTTATCTGTGGCTCTACTTGAGTCAGTGCTTTTTATCTTTTCCTATCTCATATATGTTGTTTCCAAAGATGGCATACTCATATTTCTGTGTATTGGTGAAGGAGTTGGGTCAATGGCCTACGCAAAGCACTGCAATGTTTAGGTTTCCTTGGAGTCATAGGGTCAAGTCCTGATAAAGTTAACTCATTTCTCTTTTCCACTATAGATAAATTGAGTTACCTGCAGCTTTTGTGTGAGCCATTCAGATGAGACTTGTAAATATTTGCAGTCCTTTCAGCTCCATTTGTATGAGCAGGAATTTGACCTAGTGTCCCTGGATAAGACTTCCCTTTCTCCCACTACAATGCTTTCTTTCCTAGGGATGTCTGCACAGCAGTGACCATGTGCAAAATGCTGTTGTGTGCTCCCGGGTGAAAAGTGCTATCCATTATGTCACTGTTCTGCACTTCCAGGTGGGAAGGGAAATCTCAACATGATAAAGACTCTGAATTTGTTACTTGTGCCACTAAAACAATTAGGAAGACATGGACAACTAGACAAAGGTCAGTTAGGCATCCAACTTCCCTTGGTTCTGAATAGGAGTCGGGTGCCCAACTGTCCTTTGGTGACTTTGAAAATCTCCTCCTTAATCTAGTATTGTAATTTGAGCTATTCCATAGACCAACACACAATATAGTGGTGATTACATAATATTCTACCCATCTGGCATACTCAGAAAACCAAAAAAAGCTGTAGATCAGAGGTGGGCAAATACTGGTCCACAGGCTGGATCTAGATTGCCAGGGTTAGCCCTTGACAGGCTGCTACCACTGTATTCACCTGTGCCTCCACAGGTACAGGCAAAGGCAATTGCAGTTCCTATTGGCCATGGATCACTGTTCGCAGCCAATAGGAACTGTAGGGAAGTGGCATGAACCAGGACACAACTTCCCACAGCTCCCTTTGGCTGAGAACGATGATCTGTGGCCAATGAGAGCTTCAGTCAGCTGTACCTGCGAAGGCCCAGGTAAATACAGCAGTAGTGGCCCTCCAGGAGCTATCCCTGGTAAACCACCAGCACCCTTGCTTTAGACACACTGTGTTTCAATAGAAAAATAGTTACCCGTATTTAGTTTGATTTTGGCTCAGTCAGGGAATAGATGTAAAAGGTGTGATAGTGTTTGTGAAGGAGGAATTTTGCTCACATAGAAAAACTACCACTGGTTCCTCTTACCGTAAATCTCATCTTCAGTTCTGAATTTTCTCATTCCGCTTTTTTTTTCCCCCTTCAAAGTAGTAGCCCATTTTTGCAGCACTATGTTCAAGTGGTCCATCTCTGTAGGCATTTATGTTGTAGATCATAGTCTCTGAGCATTTCAAAAGTCTGTTTTTTTTAAGAGCAGCAAAAGAATTTGTGTCTTCCTCTGCCTCTGAGTCACTTGAGTTGTGTGTGTGTTGGGGAGAGCAAAGGGGTATTCTGTCTGATTGTACTTCATTATCTTCCCTTCTCTGTCAACTAACATATTCTAGTAAGGGTATATATGCTGAACACAACACTGTTTGATCTTCCAAATACTTATGCTCAGATTCACCAAAACACTTGCACGCTTAACTTTAAGCTCACTAGTACAGTAATCCTATTCATGTGCTTTTCTTTAAGCATGTGCTGAACGGCTTTGCTGAATCAGGGCCCTGTGTCCAGACACAGTGCACGCTACCAAGACTATAGTCCTGTTGATGATAGTACTTAAACTCCCTGTTGAGCGGGAAATGTTCATTGCATCAGCACCATAATCTGTACAATAAAAAGGAAGGAGGTAAATGGCTTGTTTTCATGCCCTTTTAGGATTTTTCTGGATGTTGATTCTCAAGAGGCTTGAGAAGTGTGTATTGTAAAAATCAACTTTTGCCTGATATTGAAACATTCACAAAAGGATGTGTGGAAGCCTTCCTGAACATTGAACAATATCATTAGATACCAGCACAAACCTTTTCCCCACTTGGGTTACCTTGACATTTTAATTTGAATGGCTCAGCATAGAGGATGCCATCTTTTATAAAAATTATAGGTGAGATTTTGAAAAATGTGTGGCACCGGCCTACCTCTTCTTCCACTGGAAAGGTGAAACTTTGAAAATCCTTCCCTCACTGTGTAGGTGTGGATTAAGCAGCATGGCTCCCATTAACATGAAATATTCACCATGTAAAAAAGTGTCCTGTTTTGCAGATAAGAGCAACTGTTGTTTGCAGTTTTTTGTGATGCAGTCCTTACCTAAATTGATGCTTTCCATAGAAATTCTAGTGACATCTGCTGTGGCTGAGATGTGATGTTATTACACTTTGTTTTTATTTTATTTATTGGACTTCGGGGGAATGTATTGTCTGTTGGTTCATCGAGGAGAGCTTTATTTTTGTCTTAAACATCTTTCTACTTTATCATCAAATAGTCTCCAGGTAAATTCCTGTGCAGTATTCTGCAGAAGTTGCATTTAGAGCCATAGTACAGTTGCAGAATTCCAACAGGAGTAATATTAGATGTAGAGATCTCAAGTGGCAACCTTTGACCTGTCCTGGCTGTGCCCATTGTATGAATAAAGGTCTATTTCTGATACAGATAAAGAAATGCTCATTTTCATGAAGGTGTTATAAACCGATACATTTTCTTACGCTCAGTGATTTAGTGTATAACATTTTCTTGTCTCTCCCCCCCCACCCACACACACACCTTCCACACACACCCATATTAAAACAAAATTAAGCTGTTTACTTTAAATTGGCTTTTTTGGATGCTCTGAGTGTGAGATTTCCTGAAAAAATGCCATTCAGTTGTAGGACTCTCTCTTACACAGAGGCTACGTCTAGACTGGCATGATTTTCCGCAAATGCTTTTAACGGAAAAGTTTTCCGTTAAAAGCATTTGTGGAAAAGAGCATCTAGATTGGCACGGACGCTTTTCCACAAAAGCACTTTTTTGCGCAAAACAAATCTGAGCTGTCTACACTGGCCCTTTTGCGCAAAAGCTTTGCACGAAAGGACTTTTGCCCGAACGGTAGCAGCATAGTATTTCCGCAAGAAGCATTGATTTCAGACAGTAGGAAGTCAGCATTCTTGCAGAAATTCAAGCAGCCAGTGTAGACAGCTGGCAAGTTTTTCCGCAAAAGTAGTTGCTTTTGCGGAAAAACTTGCCAGTCTAGACATAGCCAGGGTGTTTACGCCTTTGATATTAGCATAAACCTGACTGCAGATACTTTGAGACTTTTCAGTGTCAGCACCTCATGTGATTTATGGTACATCTTTTTAAATGGGATAGAATTGATCGTGGTAAATGTTTAGGGCCTAATCCTGCATGTCCTCTGTGCCTGCAATGGGACAATTTACAGCAGTAAGCACTGCCAGGATGGGCTAATAATTTCTAATAAATATGTTCTGCTGCTGGGAAGTAACTGTCTAGGTATCTCTTAAGAATTTGTTTTTCTCTGGGATTTTGTGAATTAATGCTAATCAAAGCTGCCCTTTCCTCCTTAAAATATATAACACAGAAATTGCAGCTGCCTGCCTAGTCTGCTGAGGGATGGATGTAATAATTTTCAATTGGACTGTTAGCCTAAAGGGAACCCGATAGCAGGAGATTGACAGATGCAGTATGTATTATCTTTTACTCTGAACTCAGCCCAATTTGTGATTTGTTACAGGTGCTAAAGAGATTGATATTGCTGCTACCCTGGAGCACTTGAGGGACCAGAGACCAGGCATGGTTCAGACAAAGGTACTGTCAATAAATCCACTGGGATTTTAAATACATTAAAGGTATTGCACTGTAGTTATTTTCATGATAGAAAAGAGAGGGCATGACCTAATTTAACAGAAGTTGCTAGCTGATTACTCTGTATCCCTACCAAGTATGCGTTATTTATGCTGAAGATTTATCTAAGCTACTTTCTGCAGTGTTTACTATTCTTTTGTGTAACAACTTCCACATCTGTCTTGATTAACATATCTGAAAGACAGGCAAGACAAGACAACAATCTATTGTCTATTTAAGAAAATGCCTGCTTTAAAAAAATCCCTGGAGCTCACAAAGTGTGTGAGTGAACAACAAAGAGCAATGGTATGGTCACAATTAAGTAGGTACTGATGGAAATATCTATTGGTAATGTATCGGAAGTGAAAGTTGTTGCTGGCATAATTGTGGAACAGATGGTTTTCTGTACCAGATACTGTTCCATAACTTTTCTCAAGGAAAAAAGGGGTTGTTCTCAGTCCCATTCACTTCTGTTCCATATTTAAACTGGGAAAACTGGTGCTGAAGATTGTCAACGATATTTGGTGCCATAGCAGTAGGTGAAGGAAGAATGATTGACTGAACATTGACTTAATACAACGTTGAAGCTTACTTTGCAGAATTAAAAATAAGGTTTTTTTCTATCTTAATTAAAATAAAACAAGCATACAAACAGTTTCCTTACTTTGTCAAAACTCTTTTTAGATTTTCCTTTTATTGTTATAGTTGTTTATGATCAGGCAAGTCCACAAACTCATCGGGCTCCTGGACAAGGTGGAGCAAGAATGGCTACTTGCTCCTGGAAGGTCTCAGGCAGAAGTGGTGAATCCAGGCAGACCCCTCAGTGCTGCCCAGACTGTGCCGCTCTCCCTTCCCCAGTGCCATCCCGAGTGTGCAGCTGGGGGCTTTGCAGTGCACTGGGTAGGACTGCAGCAGAGATTTACAGTGCCTGGGGCTCTGGCTACTGCCACTGTCACAGGAACAGCAGCAGTGGCCAGGAATTCCATCCCCCTTTGAATTGCTGAGCCCTGGGGAAAGATGTTCCATGTGCCACCAGCCCCACTCCCCCCTGGCTGGTTTAACACATTTAAACTCATTTGTTTTATCTCTGCTCCCTAATTGCATGCTTATGATTTCAAATGAGGTATTTCCTTTGGTACAGAAGGGTATGTTAACCACCATCACCCCACGCACATCCCTCCCCCCAAAATTCCTAAACTACAGGGTAGGAAAATGGAAAGTGAACGTCTCTGAGCTTGATCAGCTAATCACTAGAAATCTCACTGGTAGTTACACTTTATTGTGGTGTTATCCCCTTAAAATGTGTACCAGAACAGTCTTCACAAATAAAATTAATCATATCCTTTGATCTATTATAAAAAGCTTCAGAGGGGTAGCTGTATTAGTCTGTATCTGCAAAAACAATAGGGAGTCCTTAACAACTTATAGACTAACAGATATATGTGGGCAGAAGCTTTCATGCTGGAAAGAGAAGCAAAAGAGATGAGCATTGTATTCAAGCTTTTGATAAACAACGAGGAGTCTTGTGGCACCTTAAAGACCAGCAGATTTATTTGGGCATAAGCTTTTGTGAGCAAAGGCCTGCATCTGGTCTTTAAGGTGCCACAAGACTCCTCGTTGTTTATCAAAAGCTTGAATACAATGCTCATCTCTTTTGCTTCTCTTTCCATCATTATCATCATCTGAGAACTGTTTGAATCACTTATTCAAGTTAGCACACTGAAAATTGTAAATGTCTGGTTATATGCCCATGCTATGTTGTCCTAAGCAAATTATGTATTTATTTTATTTGTATTTAAACAAACCCATGTGCTTTCCCAGCTGAATACAAATAAGGAATATCAGGTTCTTGGAGTAATTTAAAATAATTGATTAAAAGTCCATTTAGAAATGCCAATTACAGAATGTCCCTAGGCAAAGACACACTGTGTTACTTCAGCAATGTCATTGTACTTCCAGCAGATAGTGCTCCACATTTTCAATAATTGTACAAATGATTTGTTAGCGCCATGTTGCCTATAAGATGACATATTTTGTTCAAAAGTACAGTATATAATAATCATAAATAAAACTATCATTTTGTCTCTGATGGGTTCAATAAAGGTCTTACGATTTTGTTTTTTCAGTCAGAATAACAAAATATTGGTGAAATGACACACGTGAAAGAGAAGAGTTTTGAATGAGAATATTCATTAGGATAAGAAAAAACTTTCTTTCCTTTTCCCCTTACTCTAGCTTTCTTCCCGAAAGCTGGAATGATGCCAGGAACCCTGAGCTCACCTAGGCCCCTCTGTCCTACGTGGGGGAGGCAAAGCCAAAACCTGCATGGTGTGGCTCAGGCTTCAGCCTTGAGCTCTAATAAATCTAATGCCAGCCCTGGTGACCTGCTGATCTAGGTCTAGGAGCAATGAGGAGCCCTGTGGCACCTTAGGGTACATGTTATGCTTAAACAAAGCACACAAGATCTTTTATAGGGGAAAAGGCAGTACGCCACATTTATTGAGAATACAACAGTTGCATATACTATTCAGTCACTCACACACACAAACACCATGCATACACAGTCCCACCAGACAATGTCATAGTTACCAGTCCAGATTCTGTATCAATCTAGTGGCCAGTTAGATCACAGAGAGAGAGCAGGGCCTTTGTCGGTCGATCGATCCGATGCTCCTATGGAGTTGGTGGCAAGACAAACCCAAAGTTCCATGGCAAAGCATCCTGCTTTTATAAGCCTTTTCTCTGTTGAAGTCTATGGATTCCGCTGTGTCAACCTGTGACCGGAGTGTTATCTTTTTTTTATGTCAGTGTTCCCAAAACATTTCCAAAGCTCATTCTGTAATCAATCGTCTTTCAGGGGTGCTAGCTCCGCTTTAAGACCGTCAATCTGCCAATAATCCAATCATCTTGTGAGTAAGGGTACACATCGATGGTTATAGATGGTTCTTCTTTGACTCTGGGTAGTCTAGCTTTCACCCTCACTCACTCCTCCTTCTTCGGCCATCTGGTTCTGAGCAATAACTTTTGCATGTTTATCTCGACACATACGTACCACTTTCACACATAAACAATCATTTTACAAGGACTCTCAAACAAAAGCATAACATCAGTATCTGCATTGGGCAAGGCAAAAAGGCATTGTAAATCAAACAATTCAGACCTCAGCTTTCAACATTCCTCTAGTCTCATTAACACAGACATAATACCAAAACTCTATCTCTTTATTCACTACACTTTAGAACAAGGAAATATAGGAGATATATACTTAACTAAAGGATATGACTTACTACAATATTAAATATGATTATATATGTTACTTTACATTACTAAACCTAAAATACAAATATAAAAAAGACTAAAACTTTCAATCCTAACATATGTCTACACTGCACACTTATTTTGAAATAAGCTATTCTGGAAAAGTTATTAAAAAATGGCACATCTACTCTGCAGTGAAGCCTCAAAATTAGTCCAAGGCAGGCTTCCCTAATGAAGACATGCTATCTCAATTTAGAGCCCCAGGAGACACTGGCCCTGGTATGGGGCTATTTTGAAATAGCAGCAGTGGAGTGTCTACTAAATAGCTGTTTCAGAATAGGCTTTATTCCTCGTAGAATGAGGTTTACAGATTTCGGAATAAGCCATCCGTTATTTTGAAATAACAGAATGGCTGTGTAGATGCACCCTTTAATAGACTAACAGAGGTATTTGGCCATAAGCTTAAACAGTTCATCAGCTTCATGCGTGCATGGATGTTCATGCATCTGTCAGAGTAGTTTTTACCCATGAAATCTTATGCTCAGTTAAATCTGTTACTCTATCTATAAGTTGCCATAGGACTCCTCATTTTCGCAGATACAGACTAACACAGCTACCCTTCTGAAACTAGATTGAGGAGGTTTAGCTTAAAAATGTGTGTCGAGATAGCTGAGGTGGTTTTGCTCTCTGAAAGTTAGTAATGGGCATCACTGGAAGCCACAGCATTTTGAGTTCGCTGTTCCTGATAGCCCTAGCCCTGTGCTGGGGGAACAGTGCTGTGCGTCGGCTGTACCATCCCTTTCCCTGCAGTATTGTACTGTTGGTTTTAACCCTAGATTCTCAGGCTTATGCTTTATAAGGTAAGTTGCTTCTGTAATTTAGGCCTGAATCCTCTGGTAGTGTAACTTCATGTAGCTCTATTGGAGTCCTCTGCTCCACGAGAACCTCACCTGGAGACATAGAGTAAATTTGTTCTGAATAGGTAAAATTATGTGCTCTGGCCATATGTGCCCCTGCAAATGCATATCCGTGTGGAATGCCCTTTCTTGCTTCCCAATCTTGGCCTTTTTCTGCTCATGCTCTTATGAATTCAGTGTGCTGTATCAGCTCTAACATCCCATGCCTGCTCCTACTGTGTGGCCACCATCAGCACTTCAGATTTTACTTTAATTCAGGTAGGCAAATCATCCCTTGGCGGTTTCCCCACACGTTATGGATGAGCTTCTGTACTGGAACATCAGCCTTCCATGCCTAGCAAGGGTAAGCCCTCTAGGGCTGATTGACATTTAATACCAAATCAGAGGCCCCCATCTTGAAGCTGACGTATGTGCTAGTTTGGCTGTAGATGTTGCAAGGCTGACTGCACAACTCATGATCTCAGATGTATCTAAGAAGTTATACTGATTTTTTCCCATCCATTCCTATCTAGGAACTTTGTCCTTAGCTATGGCTCATTGTGACACGATAGGGTTTTCAAGTCAATGTAGGTCTTGTAGAAGTCTGACATTGAAATGAGTGAAGTACAAGTCACTATGTATTCTCAGTGGAGTCTGAAATAGGTAGTTGAAACATTTTCAGTGTCATGAAATGTTGTTGAAATATGTTGTTTTGTCAAAATCCAAACACTTTCTTGGGGGTGGTGCAGGAGACAGAGAGAGAGAGAGAGAGTCTTAGCCTGGTAGGTAGAGCAACTGGAAAGTTAAGACACCATCTAGTGCCTGAAAAAGAGCTTCGGATGCAGAATTCTCCTTTGAATCAGGGAGAACAGGGCCTTTACCTTGGGTCTTCTACATCCTAGGCCAGAAGATCATCAGCTTTCTTGTTTTATGGCTATTTCGACACTTGAATCATCAGAGAACATGGACATTTTAATACAATTCTATTTTTCTAAAAACATTTAAAAGGTTTTGTTTTTGTTCCAAAGTGGAATGAAAGCACATTTCAAAACCTCAACATTTGCTATGAAATGGAATTGTCATTCTCCACTGAGCACTTTTAGCTCTGATTCCTCCAAGCCTTCAGTTCTTCCATTAGCTTTCCACCTGGGTGGAGTCTTGTGGGAGACAAAATGCAATTGCATATTCGTAGCCCAGTCTTCAATAATCACCTTTTGCAGCTCTCCATTTTCAGGGGCCATAAGCCACTACTGCATTTGCTTGTATACCCTGTGGATTTCCAGCTCACGGCACAGCGTTTGTCAAGATCATGGGCTAGAAGATACCTAGTGTACTTGTTACTTCCCTCACCACTAGAGACAGGTATTCTTCCATTGAATAGCGGTATTTGCACTGATAGCTCCAAACCATATTAATCAGAGTATGTCTGAGCTATGGTCACAGTCATCCCCCAATAACCGTGGCTTCTGACCCAGTTGTGTTCTGTATAGGTTCTTAAACTATGCTCATCCCTATGGTTTCTGAATGTAGTTAACCTGCATTTATTTTTTCAGTGCTCCTCCTGCCTTCCCCCCTTTGTTCCTAACTTGACCTCCCTTTCAAAGAGTGCTCCTCAGAGCAGCCATCAGAAATGCAGCTTGAACTAATGTATGTGCTTGAACTTTTCCAGAGTCTTTTAAATTCTGGGTGCTTTAGATTATTTAAAACATCTGCTAAATAAAAGTAGTCTAAAGTTTTATTTTATATCAGATATATATTTTATATTCATTCCACTCAACTCATGATTCCTTTGTGTACAAACAGCCTTAACAGTCAAATAGAAAATTATTGTTAATGTAAAAAAGTAGATTCAAACATTTCAATAAATGAAATTTCTTAGCAACATAGATTGCTTAGAAAATAAGTATCAAAATTTTAATTTTACATATGATCTCTCGCATAGATTCTGTTACTTATTCCAGTGTCTTCACACTGACTCACCTTGAGGAAGTGAAAATTCTCTGTCTTTATTTGAGACTAGAATGTGTAAATGTGGGTGTTTTATAGGACAGGTGTATACGCCTGTAGCCTTCCCACTTTTGGTTATGATTTCATCTAATCTCTCAAAACCAGGTCACATCAGTATTTGGAAGGTGAATCTCCAAAAATAATCAAGTACAGAATCGATTTTAGTAATTTGGCAGTTGTGTTTACTGTAAAATCAGTAGCAAAGAAAAGCTACTTTCAGAGAGAAACATGATTTTAAATGGCAGGCTGGTGATTGAAGAATGCTTTGTAATTTGTCCCAGGTATTGGATGCTGAAAAATCAAAATGTTACAGTCACTGTTTTCTTACAGCGTGTCTAATGTGGTGAAAGATTTACAGTAGTTGCTATCGTCTGGAAAAACTGGTTGAAGGAGGGGAAGGAATCCTATCTTCAGTGCCCCGCCTACTCCCATACATCAGTCGTGGATATTTAACCAGTTTTCATCAGTCAGATGGAAGTGGATAATGCTCCATTGCTCAGAGACCTTTTTAACCATATAATTTTAATATGTCATTGTATGCTAATATCCAACTATAATAAGAGGTTCTTTTTGGTTTCTGCTATCTGTATTTTATTCTGTTAAGATGACTGTGGGGATGTTTCACGACTGCATAGTGCACCAGGCTTCTTCCTGGAAACGTTTTGTTTTATTATTTAGACTGTGTATTTGTTCTCTCCACAGGAGCAGTTTGAGTTTGCATTGACAGCAGTTGCAGAGGAAGTGAATGCAATACTCAAGGCACTTCCACAATGAGAGGTTCAATCTCCTCGAGGTTCCCTGAGGATCCATCCCTCATTTCCTTATTCTCAGTCCCTGTGAATGTTGTTGGAAACCGTGACCTGACCTTAACTGTGTATCTTCTATTGTAACCACATAGTAATAGGGTCCTTACAAACTTCTATAGCCAGTAAAAGTTCAACAGTTAAAATGTGTATTCTGCTTCTGGTTTTTAAAATTTTAAAAAATGATACCTTGAAGCCTCGGATTACGTGACAGAACAATCCATCTAATTCCTTTTACACCCTCAGAGCTCTGAATTTCACACTTTGAAAGCACACGTTCATGTTCTTAATAGCAATTATACAGTATTGTGGGTATTTAGTGCCGTCAATATATTCTCAGAAAACAGTGTTCTGTTATATTTTGTAACTTCTCAGAGGCTGAATAAGAAGAGCAGGGGGCCTGAAAAGGACTGGGATTGTTCTTACACAATACCAAACAAGAGCGTGAAACAATGCCGTGTGTGTTAATAAACACAGGTCTGCCCTCTTGCATACAGAGGCTGCGCCTTTTCATGCTGGGCTTTGGCAAGCGAATGTTTTCTTAACTGTTGTTTACTTTTCCGCTTTGTTCAATGAATGGGAGAAAATCTGAGCTATAAGTAAATAGGCCTGCACAGTTGTCACAACTGCAGAGAACAAGTCGGTCAGGTTAATGGGAATCCAATGTATAAAGAGCACAACAACACTTATTATGTATCACTGGCCTAGCAGAAAAGGAAGCAGTAACCTCAAGAAGTGGGTTGTAGGCCCAAGATAGCAACTGGATGAATGGCCTGAGCTGTTATGAAAACAGATTGTTGATTTTATAGGATTACTGGGGAGAATGGGGGCGTCTTTATATATTGGCATTATTTTCCCCCTGAGATAGTGTTGTTACCATTCTTTTTAGAGTATATTTTCAGTTTACAATGTATGAATTTGGTTCCATGCAGACATTGGTTTCATCGCTCTGCAATATTTCTGTTCTTTCCCCCATTCTAAATAATACAGATTCTAATTCATGATAGTGGATAAAGAAGTGTAGGTAGCATTTCTGTGCTCTAAATTCTTAAACCTACTGTTGCAAAGTGATGCTAAAGTATGTCTGTAAATGATCCAGTGATGTAACTTTGCTTAAACACACCCACATGTTTCCTTGTTTCATTTGGGAGGAGGGATTAAAACTGCTGATAGACACACTTTGATTTATTTGAATGAGAAACTATGAGTAACATTTTCATAAGTGAAGTGACTTAGGGTTCTGTAACTCCTTTTTGAAAGTGGGACCTAGGCCCTGTAGATGCTTTTGAAAATGTTACCTAACATGGTTGTTGGTTCCAAGTTTATATTTTTTCAAAATTACTTGAAAGTGTTGTATGCTTTTAATTGTGCCACGTTAATCATTTTGGTTTCAGAATTGCAAAACATATCAATGGTTTTAATTTTGGGGTCTTTTGTAAATCTATTCGATAAATTGTTTTAAAAATAGCATTGCAGTTTTGCTAGAAGAGAGACGACAGACACTGGTTGAAATCTAATACCATGTTGCAGTTTTGTGTTGTAGGTATGAATGTTGGTGATTTCTTCTTTTTGGTGATTAAAGAGTTATTTCAAAAAGCGCCAGACGTGTTACTTTTCTATGTATGTTTTCATACACTCTTCTCAATGTGTGCTACTGCTTAATTTGTGTATCCCATTACCATGGCAGTATAGAGTAGTTACTGCAGATGCCATCATCCTCTTAAGTACACATACTGTACATTAAGCCACATGTTTATTTTATGGCATAAGCATTTTAGAGCTTTCCTAGCAATAACTAAAAAAACTAATGGGGTATGAATGAGAAAATTGCCTTTTTCATTTGATAATTTAGCTTTAAAAGGACTCCTTTATGACTTTAGCTAACACAAAATTGCAGATCAGGGCAGATTAAATCAGTCTGAACCATATCTGCCAGCGTTTGAATTAGATTTATTGTGGAGACAGTATGATGCAGCTTTCTGAAAATGTAGGTAGCTACATCCAAAATAACCTACCAAAGATTCAATCTTGGTACATCCTTGCCCCCACTTCCTGCTGCCAAATGGAATGATCTCACTGAAGAGATGCTGTGTTGTTACTCACTAACAATCCCAGGGGAGAGTAACTTTTCTGAGGGCAGATCCCTCCGCTGCAGTTTGTTAGAACTTGCAGAACTTTCTCTCCCAATGCCCACATCAGACATGGGTGACAATGGCAATCCTCAATTTCTCTGGGTTGGTAAAACACTTTGTGATGCTTTTCCAAAGTGTTAACAATTTCTTTTTAAAATTCAAAAATCTTTCAACCTAATTCTTCTGCAAATTTTTAATCATGATATATTTCAGGTTAATAACATAATGGTTATCCCTATTAATTCAGAAACAGCTAGAGTGGGAATACAGTATAGAGCAGGAATTCTACAGAATTTAACTACAAATTACAGAAAGACAATAATGTTTTCCGTTAAATTCTATAGGTTTTCAGTGTATTTTCTGTTGAATCCCAATTACAAGCCTATAGGTTTCATCCTGATTAACTGCTACCCTGCTTCTCAATAAGGTCAGGATTATTTTGTAAAAAGGAAACACCTTTCAGTAATCTAAAGATTATTGCACAATTTAGCATTACAAGGCCAAGAGATTTTCTGGCTTTCTTCTTCAGAAAGCAACCCAGGGATCCTGCTTGGGTAGGTGGAGTTGAACACTAATCTTTATAAAAGTTTGGCGGAAATACTGCTATTTCTCACAATTATCATTAATACCAAGCCTGTCAGCAAAATCCACTTTTTTATCCCATCGGGTTAAATTGTGGTATCAAGTCATGTCATCTCCAAGTGACATTTACATCCATGAAAATATTACCTGGTGCAGCCTGGCATGTCAGAATGCAAAGAAGAATATGTTTTAAAGTGAAGTTTATCCATTTTGTAGAAGTTTACTTACTAAATCTATTTTGCTGTGGGGTTTGTGCCTGCATACCTGCCCTTGCCTAGAATTCTGTTGTTTTTCACCAGCCCATCTAGTAGCCTCTGTCTTGCATGTGCATTTTGAATCGACATTAGAAAGGGCTCTTTCCTTCTGTTTCAGCAAAACATCTGCCTTAAGACAGATAACGTATTAGATATCACAACCCCTCCTTTCTGCAGTGCTTTGTGGAGTAGCTTGATCATTATTAAACTAATGTCCAATATTGAAACTCGGGCTGGCATCCGACTCTTAGGAGAGTTGGAATAAATTGTGTGCATTACGTAGTGGCTTAGCTAATCTCATTGATTAAAACCAAATCTATAGACGCTGTTTGAATCTTTAATTGCCATGGACCTAAGGCGTAATTGGAGAAGTGAAGAAAGGATTAAATTAACCCCAGTGCCGCGAGAACACCACCTCTTCACCGCTTTGAGAAGGCTGCAGTCTGGGTAGGGAGTTCAAGTATTCCAAGTGTGCCACAGAGGGGACTCCGTGCCAGCTCTGAATATGAGGGAAAGGGAGGCTGGAAGAGAGGCCACAAGATCCATCAGTAAGTAACTCCAATAGCTGGCAATTCTGGCATAAAGAGAGTAGAGGGTGGTATGTAACTGTAATACAGTGCTCCCCTTTCCCCCCCACCATTTTATGGTGGTAGATTTCATCCCCACCAGTCCCCATATAGCCCACATGCCCAAAGTCCAAATACTCGGGGTGGAACTCTAGCACTATTGAAGTCAACTGGTGTTTTGCCATTGCCTTCATCGGGCAGAATTTCACCCATGAGCTTTATCCAGCAGTTCTGAATATCACTCTGAAGACTTGGTCCAGGTACCACTGAAATCCAGTGTTTTTTTTCTTGGGGTTGGATTGTGCTCAGAAGGAATTTTAGCAGAGACTTCAATATACAAATGCAGTCCAATACCAAGAACTACTTTTCTCTCCGTGGTTATTAAAATGCTTTTAAAAAAAACAAAATGTAACTGTACATCTATATGAAATACATGCATAAAACAACCCAAGCACATTCCATGAGGAAATGACAGCAATAGACCTGTAATTTGTGGGTTTGTGCTTTATTAATCAAGTAGAACATTAATAATAAAAACCAACCCACTTTATAATTACTGGAGTAGACATTAATTTAAAAATTGTTTATTATAATAGAAAATAAATATTTGATTAGCTTTGTTACAGAACAGTGACTGTGTTTTAACTTTTTTCTGCCTATTTGTTTAGGAAATTCTCTTAGGAAGCTGTTGTGATAATTCACTTTTTAAAATTGTACAGTTTCTGTGATTTTGCTTTTTAAATGGGAGTACACTTTACAGATTTGATTTATATTTTTCTGTTACAACTACCTTGGACCTTTGAAAAAAAAGCTTTCCCCACCATGATGTAAAGAAAAAAATACTCTGTTTATTTTTGCAAGAAACCAACAAAATAATTTACAAAACCATGGCATACTTAATCCAGTTAAAGCATGACACTTTTTCCACTAGTCTTAATGTACCGCATTAAAAGTAAAATAAAATTACACCAGCAAGATCTTTTTTGAAGATGCTCTTGCACATGATCGTACTGTACTTGATGGCACACATTGTTATGTCTTCAAAAGTTTTTCTTTCATGTTCATTGGATTATAATAGATTATTTATATGTATATAACTAAGATAAATAAAAAGATTATACAAAGTATTTTATTCTACCTATGTAAAAATCTCACTTGTGAATAAAGTCGCATTGTCTGTGGAGTATTGTAAACACTGCAACATAGTCTGGTGCCTTTTTGTACCTATGTGTAAATTATCCTTTGCTTGATCTTCATTCTGTATATATGGGCCATTTGCACTTTTCCAGATGAGAGCTGCAGTGGCATCTTGATCAGAGCCCAGAGGACTATATCTAATTTACCCAAAATATAGCAGAGCCATCCTCAACTTTCATGAGAAATGTTTGGAGATTCTAACAGAAGATTCTCCCTCTTGAGCTGGGTGAAGGATGCTCAGATTTAGACAGAACTGCAGGTAAGAATCCAGAACGGAGGAGGAACCTGATCAGTGGCAGGGAAAAACATCCATGTGAGGAGAGTGCAAAAGGATTAGTACTGTTTTCTGAGCAACTAGACAAATCAGGAATATTGCAATAGATGTATACAAAACAGCAAATGATATAGAAAAAAGTAGACTAGGAACTTTTATACAGGAGCACAGAGCTGCAAGGAGACTGAAAGACTAAATTTAAAGCTGCTACAATTGCCTTTTTACACAGCACATAATTAATCCATGTAACTGATAACCACACGACGTCATTGATTACAAGAGAATGGCAGGATTCATATGGGTAATGAGACCATTCACTATTACATCAGGTAGGATTGACACAGAATACACTATAAACCTTCACAGCCAGGATAATCACTGAGACCATGTTTATACTATGTGGAAGAGCAACTCTTCTCTGCTCAATCTTCTGGGTTCGATTTAATGGATCTAGTGAAGACCCATTAATTGAAAAGGAGGCACCCCTATTGGCGCTGGAACTCCTGCTCCTCACAGGAGTAAGGGAAGCCAACTGGAGCATTTGCTCCCATCAACCTCTAGCTGTGTGAACGGTGATTTAAGATACGACTCCACCTACATAATTAATGTATATGGAGTTGCGTATATAAGTCAACCTTCCTCTTCAGAGTAGTTATGCCCTAAATGAGTGGGTTAGAAAATAACTTCTCCATAAGCAAATCTTTCCATAGTTGTTCATTATGAGGAGTCTTGTAAATTCCCCTAAAATTTCTGGTACTATCTATTATGAGAGACAAGATATTGGACTTGATGGGGCATGGGTCTGACTGAAGATGGCAATTTTCATGTCCATAAATGTGAGTTGTATTTTGTTGTTCTTGGAGAAAGAATAATCAACAT